TGAATCTAAAAATATTTTCTGGGACTTTTTAAATAATGTTGAAATGTCTTTCTAAGGCTATCGGTTTCCAAAAAAATTATCCCATTTTCAACTCAATTTCAGTTTTCTTTTTCCTGTTTTTTTTAAACTTGGTTGTAAAGTATTCATTTTTGAGGTTTTTGGGAGTTTGGCAATTTCTTTTGTATTGTAAGAATGTTTGAAATATAATCTGATATTGAGTTTTTTTAGATCTGAATGATTTTAAACAGTTTAATGGTTTTCAATTTAATCATTGTTCAACCGGACAGATTATTTTGTGATTTTCAACTTTAATCGCATCATTGTTTTTCAAAAAATAAATCTTTAACACAAAGCTTCAAAAATACTTTTGACAGGGTCCGATCATCCACAGTACTTTCTTCTTAAGCGAAACATTATTTTCGTTGCAGTAGTTTGCATTTTTAATTTTCTTAAAAACGCATGACGAATGTGGTTCTACAGAAGGATGCTGAGAATGTCATGAAAAGTACATGTGAGCAACGAAGAAGTTTTAAGAAAAATAGAAACGAAATGGACACTTGTTGTTTTTTTTAATCAGAAAATTTTTTTATTTCGTCCAATTCAAATTTCTGGGACACATACTGAGGAAAGAGGGCCTGGAGAATTCAAAACTTTTTGATTCATGATATTTGCTGAAGGTTTAAATGAAATACAAAAATGGATTTTTTAGAAGATGATTAATTTCATTGAAATGAATGGAACAGTTTGCCCATCGAGAATCGATGATGACCCAAATCTAGGACAGGTTTTGGCCTTTGTCAGAGCGAGTTGGTATGGCTTCAATGGTTTTTACTTTTATTTATAGGGTTTTTTTTTTTTTTTTTTTTTTAAACCTTCCTTTTCCCACTCCCTCAAACCCATCTGTGGAGATGTTGGGGTGACGTCTGGAAAGATACAAGAAAGGTATGTCACAGGGTAGGGCTGCTAATTTTGGGTTTAACCAGACTTTTTTATGAAATGTCCCCCTATCAACGGATTTTTCCAAACTTGCTTGAATTCAGAGTTTTCTATCTCTTATTTGCTAAAAGACCAGACCGGTTTGTATAACTCATTTTTAGATCCTGGGTTTTAATGGGGAGATGGATTCATACCGATTGATCCCCTCTCCGACCATATTAGTGAATGTTATTGAACTTTTGCATTGGAATTCAAACACACCTCCCGTCCCCCAGACGACCTCAAACAGGTCCGAGCCCCTCTGCAATCATTACGCTACCCCGCCAACAGGGCGGGTAGGGATAGTAATGGGATAAATGTTGGTTAGAACTATAAAGAACAGGATGCTGTGGAGAGCCATTATCAGCTATGTTCTGAGAGGAAAATGTTGCTTATTCAGTGCGAGAACCAATAAACAGAAAATATGTCAATTTTGACATTTTCAAAGACAGCTGAGATTTCTAAGACACATAATGAAGGAAGAATTAGACATTTTGATACTCACAAGGTGTATCGAAGGCAAAAGAGACCAAAGTGGGGAGGGGACACTGAGTAAGCCACCTAACGAGGTTTTGTAAATGAATATCAGAATAAGAAGTGGGAGGGATAGTAAAAAGACAAATATTGCTAACGGCTATAAGGAATAGGAAGTTATGGAGAGCCATGATCGTCAACGTCCTGAAGAGACACGCTCACAGAAGAAGGTAAGTCAACTGTCACAATACAACAAAAAGGGATTTAAAAAAAAAAATTTTTTTTAATAAAGTTAGTTAAAAGTAAACGCTACTAATGATACCTAACGACAAACACAGAACAAACTTTTTGATCAATAAGCAGCTTTAGTATTTACAGTGCAAGTAAAGCATCACAAGATATTTTTTTTTTTATTAAGAGTATATTGCATTACTCTACCCACGAGACTGATCAATATTAACAATTCCAGCTCGGTTATTTTTATTGGTGCGTGTGGGGATAACACCTTTATTCAGATCTGGTACTGATAGGATAGACAAAACAAAGTTTAACTGAATATGCGGTGCTATTAAAGCTAGTGATAGTCATGTCGAGTTAACAGTATTGAAAAAAAAAAAGAGGTTTTCCCTTTATATGAAAAAATTTGCCGCAGATGTGATATTGCGTAACTAGGTCGGTGTTTGAAATTTTATGGCAATTGTATTTTTTTCGGCATGCCCACCCAATGTGACACAAGGTCAAAGTTTAGAGTGGGTTTACTGGCAATACCGTAGAAAAATTGCTTTAGCCCACTTGGTACTTTTGGGGAAACCCCACCCCGAAGATGTACTGCCAGGGGGGGGGGGGTTCGTTGAAGGCAACCCCACTGGGGCTAGGGATTAAAGTTTTTGACGTCCCCCCCCCGAAAGGGTCTTGAAGCGATTGTGACTACAACACTCTTCTAAACATCTGTACAAATATTCGTTTTTGACAGTGTTGCATTTTTAGGTTTTTTTATGAACAAAAAATGTAACCGAAATAAAGAAAAAAATAGAACCAAATATTCATCCATTTATAACTTCACACTTCGCTTGCATAATGTCACGTGATGCAATGGTTAACAAGCTTGCCTCGCTAGAACAATTACGACTGAGTATCGAGTTCGATCCTCATACTTTCGGCTTTGTACCACATCTAAGCTATGCTTAGAAAATCATAGAGCACATCGCCGTGGTGTAATGGTTAGCAAGCTTGTCTCACTAGATCAATTACGACTGAATAGTGAGTTCGATCTTCACTGTGTGCTCAATACTTTCGGCCTTGTGCCACATCTATGTTACGCTGGGAAAATCACCATAAAGTTACAATGACTACTGCCTCAATTAAAAAAAGTGGTAACCAAAATATTCAAATGTAAATGACGAACAAATAAACAAATCTTTCATTGTTTAAAAATAAAAAAATAACGATGTATTGAGTGCGCTGGACCGTTGCGCATGTCTGTATGTAGGTGTGTGTGCGCAAAAGTCCAGTCACACAGAATAAAGAAGTCCTCCCCAGAGGGGACGAAGGCTCGTGTATCAACTCTGATACAGTAAAGCAAAGCAAATAAAAATCAATAAATCTCGTGATCTTATATATATATATATTAAACAGCATCACATAACGGCGTCGTGGAGACCAAGTGGGGGTAATCCCCACGGCTGTACATGACTGAATTGTATTTTGGGGGTGTAGATGCTGAAAATTTCGCGAAGTCCCAAACTCAATAATAAATGCTCAATGGGGTTTAAATCTGGTGAGCGTGTCATCTAATACAGTATGTAAAAGTCAGCCGAATGTTTCTGTAACCAGTTTCGTGTCACCCACACATGATGGTGGGATGTGCGTTATTATCGAACAACCACCACCGCCGCCGCCGGGAAACATTTTGAGCATAAAGAAATATGCAAATGATCTGAAAGTTTGAAGCAACAGTTTCTGTGGATGTCGCACCTGGTAAGACAACTTCCGATTTTAAACATGGTCCTTGCAAACTCCAAAAATGGAATTCAAATATTTTGTTGAGATTTCATAGGTAGTAGTATGGTTGGCGGGGAGGAGACGTGCGTTTAGCATGACGGATAGACAGTGAATTCTTTTTAATTTATTCTTTTGAAAGGCACGAAAATTATTACAACTTTTATGCTTAGTTTTTTTTTTTTGTTTTTTTATCAATATATATCATTGCTATCGTCTTCTCGTGAAAAGTGCTACTCTGTGTAAAAAACTTTTACATGAATAAAGAAAACTAACAACACGTGCACTTAGAAAAGTTCTACCTCCACGAAGCGGTATCTTAAAATTTCTAACTGCCGATTGCAACCGTTTCTTTAAAAAACTATTTACATTTTTTTATGAAAGAACACTGGAGCGAATGACACAGTTTCATTATTATTTATTTATTTCCATAGTGTATTGCCAAAAAGGTGAAGAGAAAATTTGAAGATGCGGTTCTACAGAAGGATGCTGAGAATATCATGGACAGATCATGTAAGCAACAAGGAAGTTTTAAGGGAAAAGTAAGACAAAAAGAACGCTTATTCTGCCAAGAGTTAAATTTCTGTGTCACATAATATAATGAGGAAAGAGGGCATGGAGAATTTAACACTCACAGGACATATTGAAGGCAAGAGGGGAAAGCGAGTAATCTATTTAAGGAGCTTGTGTAAAAATAGATGACAGAAAAAATGGGGGATACTAAAAAAGATACTAAGTGTTATAAAGGTTAGGAAGTTGCGGAGAGCCGTGATCGTGTACGCCCTGAAGGGACAGAGGTAAACAGTGAGTAACCTAAGGCTTAAAAAAAATAAATGAATAGCAGAAAAAAACGGGAGGGATTGGAATTTTTTTTTACTAAAACGATGAACATTACTAAAAAGAAAGATCACCGAAATTTAGGAAGACGAGGAGAGCCATGAGAGGAAGAGACACGTCACATAAGATAAGAAGAAGGTTATTTATCGACAAAGATGAAAAATAGCCGCTGAAGAAATTTTATAGAGAAAATATTGGAGAAGAAGGATAAGTTTAAAAAAGGTGGCTATGTCCTCAATAACAGCTTATCTGGCATTTAAAATACTTACCGGGTAAGAAATCTTTTCAGGTGCTTCAAAAATAAAGTTTTCATTTTTTTTTTTTATCATGGGCGATTGTGAGTTGCTGTGTTAAATTGTTCGGTCGTATTAATGAAAATCTACATTCATATTTAATTTGTTTGTTTTAAACTAGGGAAATTTGAGAAAGAAATATTTACACAATGACACACGGAATGAAGTACTTGACTCTATTTGTGAGTTGAAATAAACAAAAGAGGAATATTAAATTTTATGACGGGACAAATTATTTTTTTAAATTTAAGTCAAAAGATAATTTAATGAAAATGTTTTAGAGAAAAAAAATCCAAGCTTTCTTTTCTTTCTCAAATATAAATTATTAAAGAGGTTTAAATCTCCAATAAAATATAGTTGTTAAATAAAAAATAAAAAAAACGCATTTAAAGTAAATATTTTAAGATAATTTGAATTACTTACTGTTGGAGGGGAAAACACGATATTGCGCAACGAAAAATCTAAAAAGTTATTTCTTGATTTTTCAACAGAAAGCAGCAAGTGCTGTGATGTCAGTAGGAGAAGGGAAATCTTTTAAAAAGTCTCGTCGTGTTTACTTTTTAAGATGCAAGACAAGACGTTTGTGTTGAACGAAGGAGGGTGGACCACAACCAAATGTATCGAGAATGAGGAAGGAGGAGGACGACGATAAAAATATAATTACAAATTAGAAGCAAACAAAATCTCGAAATGTAAACGTGTCACCCTCCCGCCACTCCTGTCTTCTGTCCAACGTCCGAACAATCAATTTTGTTATCCACACCCACCAAAAAAAAAACAAAAAAAAAAACAAACTCCCTGGCATGTCGACACCTACTATTGTCTCTGGCCATCGTGAGTTCGATCCTCGCCCGATAACAGGAACTTAGCCTGACTAAGTCAAATTTATAATGCACTTGACTTTTTAGCAATTAATAAATACACGATCGTGATTATTATTAAACAGAATCTGACCGCCGGCCATTTCTTTCTTTCTAGTTTTGAATTTCCAACACAGAGATAAACGAACGTTACGAAAGAAAGAAACATGTCAGAAGGGGCCGCCGGCAATGGGTTTCAAAACCCAACTATGATACGGCTCCTTCTCTCTACTGCGTGTAGATTTCAAACTGTTCCAACCTGGGGGCCACGGACTCTTGAATGAAAATTGTTGGGAGAGGACAGAGCTTTTTTTTTAACTTAATAAAAAAAAAAACAAGAAATTATCCAATTTAAATGAAAATTACAGTATATATTCATTAATTATTTATTTTTATAATGAATAGGTTTTTGTTTATTTAAAAAAAAAATTCGAGAAAATGTTATTCTTTCTTTTTGTAATAGCTACCAATATTTTTATGGTTAAGTTTTACTTGAAAAAAAATATTTAAAAAAATCGTAAATTCTTTCATTTCCATAGATTAATAATCGTCAACGCTTTTTTCGCTGACAAAAAAAATTTTTTTTTTTACAAAGATTCTATGACATGAAAAAACATCCCCAACAAACTGAATTTTCTTTAAAAAAAACCCCAACAAACAAACAAAAAGAAAACGGTGCTAATGCATGAGAGGACTTGATGTATTAGGGTTTTTTAGGATTAGGCTAGGGGTAGAACTTTTCCATAAACATGACAAATGAGATAATTTGCAATTTACATTTAAATTCATATATGGATTAGTTAGTAGTAGTGTCTCTTCTTAGTGTCTCTTCTTAGTGTCTCTTTCACCTGATCTTGTCATTCATTTGCACCCAAAAAAAATCAAAAAATGTTTCTTCCTCCAATACAATTCATAGCTAGATAAATGCATATATTGATTTAAAAGAACTGTTTAGTAAGAAAATTACAATTTAAAAAAATAAGCACTACTGAAATTAGCAGTTCTGCCCTACCTCCCCAGTAGGCATTCCCCACCCTACGCGGTTGAGAGGTGCAGGGTAGTAAGGACCGGCCTTGTCAATTATTATAGTTGATGATTGATAATTTAACTTAACTAGAAAAAAAGTAAAAAGTACAAAAAAAAAAAACAAAAAAAAAAAACACTGCTGAAACTATCACTTATGGGGCTCCAACCATGTTGTGGGTTCCTGTGTGGTACGCAGCAAACTGGTCATAATGATGTATATTATTAGCTGATGATTTACAATGTAATGGCAGATGACCATAAAACAGTGCTGAAAAAAAAATGACAGAGGTCACAACGGCCCCCAAAAAATGTTGTCGAGGGTTTTGGGGGTAAAAACATGCTGGCCCTGTATGTCAGTTTCTTGGAAAAGGCAATGAGAAATCACCATTTTAATTTTAAAACCACTTTTCCAACTACTCATGGCAATTCACACACTAAAGACAAGAAAGCTGTATGATAAATTACACTCGAAAGAGACATATGACATTAAAAAGAAATCATCTTACATTAGTCATTCAAACTATACAATTAAAAAAATGTTATTTTACCATTTTATTTCTTTTTAAATGATATCACTTTCTTTTTATTATTTTCTTGGTCATATATTTCAAAAGCCTTCAAACACATTTTATTTACATGAGAGAGCAACATGAAGTGTACAAATATACAGTCTGTAAAGTTGTGATATTAGTTTTAAATCTTTTCTTAGGTCCTGAATAGAAATTGACTCTTGTTTAGTTATGTAAGTTTTTGTCTTTTTTAGGTGGGGATTTTTTTATTTTATTTTCAATTAAATAATCTTTGTATTCTTTTTTAATGTTCCATTTTTTACATTGAATTTTTTTATGTCAATTTTTTACACAGGAAACAATTTTCGATTCAACTCAGTAATTTCTAAAACAATTTCCTCTAAAAGCAGTTTCACGTTTAATCACAAATGTCAATTGTTTCTCACTAATTTAAAAAAAACAGAAAAAAACTTATTCCCCCATAGATCTCGGTTATCTCACCCCTTCCTCCCATCTGCTGGCATAGTCATTATATAATTTTCACTTTTCAGTTACTTTCCTAAGAGTTCAAGTTTTGTAGAACCATAAAAATGGTAACTGACTTAAGAGAAGAAAAACTAATAACAAAAACTGATATCAAACATTATTTCTATTCACATATTTGTTATCAACTGCATTTCATGAGGCAAAAATGATAATAATAAGCAAATAATGATAAAAAATAGTAAAGAAGTAATGATTAACAAAGTTAATGAATTATATTTTTTGATAATTAAACTCACTTTATAACTTTTCAATATTATGAGTCATAACAAGAACAAGAATTTTAAATAATGTCCAAAATATGCCATTTATACTTATAGAATAATAATAATAATAATAATAATAATAATAATAATAATAATAATACAAGGACCTTGAAATCGAAATCTCAAACATGTGGCACATGGGAACATCAACAATCCCTGTTGTAGTTGGAGCCCTAGGATTAGTTGGAAAAGTTTCCAGTGGACTAATTGAAGGGATTCCTGGAAGTCCATGCCTCAAAGAGATACAAAAAATTGTTCTCACAAGCACAGATCACACTTTACGAAGGGCTTTATCTATGTAATTTTTCTTCTTTTTTTTTGTCAGTGGAAATTGCCATGATGCCATTTCTAATCTTAGGTCCCTGGGCGGGACCTGGAAAGAAATGTGTAAATGCCAGAAATCAAAGGAAATAAAAATAATAATAATAATGAACAATCAAATCTAATCACCCAGACATTGTTATTAGAGACGACAAACACAGAATTTGCCTCCTTATTGATATGGCACTCCCTGCAGACTGCAATGTATCTTTGAAGATCTTCAAAAAGCTATCAAAATACAAAGATGTTGAAATTGAAATCTCAAAAATGTGCCACATGAGAACATCAACAATTCCTGTAGTAGTTGGAGCCCTTGGATTGATTGGAAAAGATTCCAATAGACTCATTGAAAGGATTCCTGGAAGCCCATGCCTTACAGAAATATAAAAATTGTTCTCACGAGTACAACCCACATCTTATGAAGGGCTTTATCAATGTAAAATATTTTTTTTTGTTTTAAATTTCTCAGTGGAAAATGTCATGATGCCATTTCTGACCTTAGGCCTCTGGCCGGGACCCAGAAAAAAATGAGTAATACACCAGAACTCAAAGGAAATGAAATAATAATGATAACAACATACAAAGTGTTTGCCGTAACTCTTGCAATATTTTGCAGCACTTGGAGAAGAGCGTAATTTAAGAAAAGAAAAAGAAAAGTAAAAATACTGCTTGACAATATTTCTGCAGTGTGTCTGTTTTCACTTTACGTTTAAAAGTTGAATACAAGTATAAAAATCTACAAAAAAATAAGTCTTTGTAGAAATGTTACTTGTTTTGTGAAAGACAGTTGTACTGATAATCAATGCGGTAAAATAAATAAAATGCTGTCAGCATGAAAGGAATGCAATTGAAACTTGAGTAACATGTTGAGCTCATTTTGAAATATTCCGTTTGTTGATTAGTTAGTAAGAGCACTTAAGAAAACGGCTTAGTAGAAATTTTATGGAACTTTCCTGTCATTATGGTCAAACAGTGATAATAATAATAATAATAATAATAAGCATCATAATCATTACAAGGTTATTGGCAGGGGGCAGGGGAGAAGGAAATTTAAAATATTAAAATATTGCTCAATTGATTTATATCATTGAGAAAGGCCTGTAGAGGACTGGGTGGGTTTGAGTTTTGTTGAATTGGAAACACATGTTCATTTCCTGCTAGAAGGTCCAACCACAAGAACAGGGTGGACTCAAATTCAGTCCAACCAAAGATGAAAGGAAAACAAACAAGACCGATATATATATGTCAACAAATATATGTATTAAACAACAAATTTACAAGTGACAAAGACATTAACATTTGTGTTTGTGTGTGAATGCAAAAAGTTTCTATGTTGTTGAATGTTTGTACGTACGTGTATGTGTGTTTCATGGCATTTTCCCACAAATGAGCGAAAACGTAGATTTCTACGAGAGATTACATTTTTAAATGTGTCCGCTGAAATGCAAAGTGAAAAAGAGAACAAGGCGAGAAGTCGCCCAGTATTTATAGTGTAGGGAGAGTGACCCCTAGTGACAATTAGGGAATTAAGGGGGAGGTAACTTTGACAGGCTTTGTAGTGAATTTTAATTACTAAACTATGACATAATATTCTATGCAGACAGTGGCAGAGAGTGGGTTTTGAATACTCAGTGAAATATAATTTTATCATGCCTCCTCCTTAACCATGAATTATAAATTCTTATTTTGTATGTATTTTCTCAACTTAATTAATTTTTTTGTGCCCCTAAAAATTTAGTCCCTGGGGCATCACGCTTCTGGAGCTGCCCATGCTATGCCACTGTATGAAGTCACTCTTAGTAGATGTAGGTCACTAGAGAATTTCTGTTAATAATAATAATAATAATAATAATGATAATAATAATAATAAAACAAAAAAGCCCTGTCACACGAGTCATAGCTTTCACAGCTTCTTATCTTAATTGATTGGAAGTGTTAACAAGTATATGTTTTGGTGAAATAAGACGGTCTATGGTAAATATCCTGTTCAGTATCCAGATTTGCTTGTCTGTTACTTGACCGTAACCAATTGGACTTGTCTACTAGAGGTTGATACACTGTACATCTCTGTTCAAGAGCGAGAGGGGTCAGGGAGCATCATGGCTGGTGTGGAGAGGGTTGTCTTCTTAAGTGCAAAGGATGGCAGCCAAGGGGACTTAGGACTCACATCAAAATACTTGGGAACATCTTCAACCAGAGACTATCTGGACTGGATTACCTGAACTGAAAGGATTTCTACCTGGATTCAACCTCTGAAGTTATGTGCTGCTTTTATCAAAACCAATCCCCATGAATTTAAGAGTACAACTAAATTGGCAGTTAGGTCTCATTATTTTACTGTTAAATTATCTGGATGTAACTGTCAGTTCTATTCTAATAGTTTCTTTTCTCTCACTTCTCACTTGTGGAATTCTCTTGCAATTTTTTGCTCACCCTGCCACCTACAATCATCCAAAATCTAAATGCAAAATGAATTACCATCTTCCTGAACCCTGCTTATTTAT